TCCCAGTCTCCTCACCTGTCCCAGAGTGCCCCCCCTCCTTCCCCCCCACAGCCATTTCCTGCTGTCTGATGACTGCGTGCTGGTCTCTGATTGGCTGTGTCTGATGCCTGCGTGCTGGTCTCTGATTGGCTGTGTCTGATGACTGCGTGCTGGTCTCTGATTGGCTGTTTCAGGGCGCTACAGCTCGGAGAGCGACGTGTGGAGCTATGGCATCCTCCTGTGGGAGACCTTTAGTCTGGGGGTGTGTCCTTATCCGGGGATGACCAATCAGCAGGCCCGGGAGCAGGTGGAAAAAGGTAAACGCAGCGGGGGGCGTGGCTCCGTGGGCGGCTCAGACCCGGTAACCATGGAAACGTGTGGTGTCAGGTTACAGGATGGCCTGTCCGCAGCGTTGCCCCGACGACGTGTACCGCGTCATGCAGCGCTGCTGGCAGTACGGCGCCGAGGACCGGCCCAAGTTCTGCGAGCTGCAGAGAGACCTGGCCGCCATCAAGAAGAAGTGAGGCCCGCCTCCTGTGGGCGGGGCCCGGCCACAGGAAGTGGGGTCAGGTGGGCGGGGTCACACAGGAAGTGGGGTCAGGTGGACGGGGTCACACAGGAAGTGGAGTCAGGTGGACGGGGTCATCACGGCTCATCGCTGACTCGACTGAACCTGCAATCCGCAGAGTTTCCAGGAAACAAATCCAACCTGCCGCTCCCCAAACCGAAACCATGATAGTGAACACTTAGGAGGGAGGTAAACAGACAGTAAACAGAGAGGTAAACAGTTTGTTTTTCTTAGTTTACACACATTTTTATTTATTGTTTGAAAAGCCGATGGCTCATAAATCTAAACATTAAGCCCCGCCTCCTGCCGGTGGGATCCTCGTGGCAACAGTGTTTCCACGGGCGACTAAACACTATATTTTATCCTTCTTGTTTGTGTATTTATTGTTTTAATTCAACTCTGCCAGCAGTCATTAGACCACGCCCACTCTCTTTGTCTGAGTCCATGAAGTGTTTTGACCAATCGGATCCCACAGAAACAAACTTTGCTGATTTCCAGCTCACAGTTGATTCGACGGCATTATTTCCTGGCTTCTGTCAGGGCGGAGCCAAAGTGTTGGTGATATCAGGGCGCCGCCTACTGTCACTGTAAATACGTTTAATATTTTTGTGTCAACACTAATTGTGCGTCTTTTATATTTGTTTTACACTTGTTATAAAAGTATTAAATCATTCCTATGAAAAGATAAGTCTGTATCAGTCTTCATTGGATGTTTAGACATTTTTATTTTCAGATTCACAATTGAAGGAAATTGATCTATTTCTGTCTTTCTATCCGATAGAATGAAAGTTAATTTGGAGCAGAAGCTATGGTTAGTTCACAGAGCTCGCTTGGACAGAAAGTCAAAGCACGAGTCCGTTTTTAATGATAGCTCAGTGATAATAGTGGGAAGGACTAACTCATTTGTCTGGGAATAAGTTAATGACACCATCACTGATGTTTAAAGGTGTACATGACTAACAGCCTGGACCAAAAAGAAAGTTTTTTTCCATCTATGGTAAAGAGGTATTCTCTCTGAATGAGGCTCTTTAAATGAGAAGAAATACATGTTTTTCCAGCTTTTCTGGACTCTGCTTTAAGATGTGAGTTATAGAAGCCAGCCTTTCCGACCGATAAGCGTCTTTTTCAGAGTCTGGACGGGTTTCAGCAATAGGGTAATGTTTATGTGGCCGCTCTGCTGTACTCAGAAGAAAATAAGATCAGTGATCTGAGTCTGCTTACAACGTCACAGTCACAGTGTCTGTAGACCAAACCAAAAACCTCAAATGAGTCCAAAGAACGAGGAAAGGCCGTTGTGTGCTTAAACTTTATTAAAACTGTAAACTCCCGAACAAAGTGGGCAGCGTGGCGGGTTTGGGGTGGGGCTTGTAGCCTATTCTCTCGTTGATGAGCTCCGCCCTGGAGGCGGCTGAGGAGGAGGATGCTGAGGCCCCGCCCCCCGCAGCATCAGCACCAACCGCAGAAGCCCCGCCCCCTCCGGACTCTGCCTCCTCGCGCTGACGCTTCCGGGCCTGGACACAAAGCACCGGACCCAAAAGCTCTGACCGCTGAACACCACATGGAGCCATTGCTCTTTGCCCACTCATTCTGATCAGAATGAGCATTACACATAATAAATGAGCATTACACATAATAAATTAGCATTACACATAATAAATGAGCATTACACATAATAAATGAGCATTACACATAATAAATGAGCACTACACACAATAAATGATAGACCCAACCTCCAGCTCCTTTTTGACACTCTCAAACTCCTCTGTGTCGTCAATCTTCAGCTCCAAACGAGTCGGCTTTCTCCTCAACATCTTCTGACTAATCACCGGGCCTCACCTGCGCAAAGAACAGCCAATGGCCTCACTGGACGCCGTCTGACGTCAGAAGACCAATTCCCCAGAGATAAAACATTTCTAGTTGGCAGATATATGTCTTTAACTCATGCTATTTCAAGACTTGCGAGTCGGTTTGTGGACATCAGCGTTGTATGAAACAGTGACGTAATTTGTTTACTGGCTCGTGCTACGGAAACGACAAACGTGTAAAAAACAACAACAACAAAGGTCTAAACACAGCTAGCTGAGCTAACCTGCCAACGGTGGTCTTCACGTGGTTTACCTGGGCCAATCAGACGCTCCTCAAAGCTTCGGAACCGGCAGGGTTCGGTTCCAGGACAGGTTTCCCGGCTTTGTTCTGCTGTGAATGTGAGACCGGAAGAAGAACCTTTGACCCGGAAGCGGAAGTCGTTTCTACATCCGGGTCACTGTGCTCCGCGACGCCGAGGCTCCGATTGTGTTTAGCGGTAAGTTCGTCTAGAAATCAGAACTTAACGGAGACGACCCAATGAAATAAAAACTGGTCCTCAAACGAAAACGGATCAAACGGGAGTTCAGTCGGTGTTTGTTTTAATATTCAGCTGGCGTTGATTTAGCTCAAAGCTCTGTGCCCGGACACGAAAATACACGCGACATGTAAATTACCAAATACCCGCGCGCCCACGAGTCTAGTTGAGTGTAATAAACTATATATTTACGACAGTATTACGTTCTGTCTCTACGGAGATGGAGTTTATTTATTTATTTCTTTAATCAGGACAGTGCACATTAATGAACAATCTCATACAGACTGTAAATGAGCCAGATTCTAGCATAGTTGCTAGTTTACATCTGTGGTCCTGAGGCAGGAAGACCAAACAACACAAAATCACACAATACAAAATCAGTCCAAACACACGTTCAGACACTGACATTACAAAA